TGCTACAAAGATATATACAGTAACCTCCAAATTGCTGGTTTTAATATATTTCTCAGGGTACCTCTCTCATAGTCAATTTCATTGTTACAAGAAAATCCCTGAAGCAGGGTAACTTGTAAGGATAGAAATGTACTGCTTCACAGTATCAGACTCCTGTAAGCTTAAGATGACCCTGCTACAGGTCCATTGTCTACGGATCCTTCATCCTCTGGGGAGGGATGCTGTGTCCCATATGGCAAAGGTGGAAGGGCAGCTGCAGAATGCTGCAAGAGGCCTCTTTTGTATTCTTGAGGCTTTAATCCTTCAGTGTCCAAGCCTTCAAGACTGACACACTGTCAACATCTGATTTTTTGCAGGGGTAAATTCAAACCTCAGCACCTTCAAAATCTTTCTGATAGATCAGAGTTTGAATCCATCACACCACCAATTTGAGTCACTTGAACTCTCTTGCCATGCCACTAACCCTGCAATAGTGGCAGAAAGGAAAGCTTCACAGGCTAGTGACAGAATAACCCTACTGGGACAACTGACACTAAAAGCTCATGTAGGGGTCCCACTGGCCCCATATTTGGATTGCAGAAGATTTATTTTATTTTAGTTTTGGTTTTTCAAGACAGGGTTTCTCTGTGTAACATCTCTGGCTGTCCTGGAACTCACTCTGTAGACCAGGCTGGCCTTGAACTCACAGAGATCCTCCTGCCTCTACTTCCTGAGTGATGAGTGCTGGATTAAATGTATGTGCCACCACTGCCCAGCTAAGATTGTGGAAGATTTAAAAAGGTAAACTGCTTTGTGGAATGATGCCAACACATCCTCTATGCTCTTAAAGAAACATGAAATCAAAGACAAATGACAATAGCATGCCACTGTGTGTATCTTCCTCTGAAGGAATAGGTAATAAAATGTAAAGAAACGAGGAGATGAACAGTTAGGCATTCCAAGGCAGGAGCTTGATTACAGCCTGATGTCCACTTCTCTTCCCAAACAGCTCCAAAAAAAATTAATGCTATTGAATGAGAATCCAACACAAAACTCAGTGCCTGTGAGACACCCTGAACAGAGAGATAACTATTGCTCCCCTTAGATTTTAGAGACAGATAACAAATCCTGTAGATAATAAATTATGTAGGCAGAAGTGTGATATTCTCCTTCTGGGAGCTCTATAGAAGAACAGAGTTGTCACAGCAACATCAGATGTCGTAAGTGTTTTTCTCAATGTCTCCATTTGTAGGGTAGGTGACTTGCCTTTGGTCACCCAGCGAGTGGGTGGTGGAGCACTCTTCCACCTGAGTCTAGGAAGAACCTTGGCAGACATGCACAGCAAGTTTCTTATTGACAGAGGCTAAGACTTTTCTCAAGGAGCCTAAGGGTCTCCTTGTAAGTCACACAGAATCCCATGTGCATGTCACCTACCTTACCTGACGTTTTATACCACTGTCACCTGGAAGCATCCCATCCCATAGGGTTTTATTATTTCTTTAAGTAGTGTTTTGGTTTTAACATGAAATGTCCCCAGGGCCTCATATGTCTGAACACTTAGTCCCCACTGAGTGGTGCTGCTGTCTCTGGAAGGTTGTGGAACCTTTAGGAGGTGGAGTCTAGCTGGAAGAAATGAGTAACTTGAGGAGGGTCTTGTAGTGTTACAGCTCCAGCCAACTTCCTGTATGCTCCCTGCTACTTGTTCCACTAAAATGTGAGGTGAGAGGTATCCACCTGCATCTTGGGTCTGTCTCCCACCATGCTTCTTCCTCCGTGGTGGACTATATTCCCTAAAACTTGTATGCCCAAATAAATCCCTAAGCTGTAAATTATCTGGTCATAGTGACAGGAGAAGAAACTAATACACCCACAAGCAGCCCCATCCTTGGCTTGCTAGTCCAGCGGCAGACAGACTACAGCGGCTGACTTCGTTTAGAATCCCCTGAGCACACAGAACACTCCTGTTTAACTTAATTTCCCATGGATTTTTGCAAAATGACTCCAACTTGGGACCACCAAAGTCTCATACATCAGACAAAATCACTTTCTCTCCAGTTATGTTTAGAAATGCAAATAAGTTGTTTAAAATACATTACTCCTAGCAAAGTCCTTATTACTGCTCAAACACATTGTAGAAAACAGATCTCAAGTGGACTTTTTGGATTTGCCTCTTTCACTTTGAATAGGTGTAGATGAGAGAAAAGTGAGCCAAGACTGAGAAGATGGAGTATAATCCAGTACAGCCACCTCTCTGCGGCAAGAATCACAATTGACAACTCCAGTCAACAGTCCTCCAGCTCATTCTGCAGTGACAGGAACTGCACTCAGTTATGAGGCAAGACTGTTTCCAGTTTCTTCCTTATGTCAAACATAAAATCTGCTTCCTGCATCTTCTTCTGACGTTTAGACTCTTCCCAAATGCCTCACTTCCTGTGACCATAAAAGATAGCCCCCATATTGCTTTGCTATGGATAACAATTTAAAAATTAAATAACCTCTTATAATTATAAGTCACACACAAATATATTTAGAGTGTTTTGTCTTCATTTAATCATCACATGAGAATAACTATCTGGACTTATACCAAATTCAGAAGCTCCATGTGACTTGGTCTCCCTAGGAGTATCAGCTGTGTTTTATACATGGAACCAACATTGGGCAGCTTGGATGACAGGTCTCTAACAGACAGCCAGATCTCAGAGCCAACAAACCCGGGTTGATGTCCCTGCTGACTGAGAAAGTCTGGCCTAAAATATCAAGACCAGATAAAGAAAAGCAGATGGAGATTTCAAAAATGAAGGCAGATTGAAAATCAAAAGGGTAAACTTTACAAGCTGCAGGCATTGATTTGTAATCAAGTTCTTTTCAAATTGCTTTGTATGTGGGCAGCAATCTATTGCATACTCAGGGGAGCGTGGCCAAGCAGTGGTTTCTTTAAAATGATGTTTAATGATATCCCCCGAGGGTCAGCTAGGAAAATAATCTATGTAGAAGCACCTCATAAACTCTAAATGTGGTGCTGCCTCATCCTAACCTGAACTCTTCCTGAATGCTCATCATGGGCTAATTATTACATGAGTTAGTGGCTAGTATCTCAAATACATGAATTACAAAAATCCTCTCACCAAAAGATTGATTGGTCATGCAGGTGATTTCTTTACCTGGCTCTATGTGAAAAATCATTCTATATTAAAAGTTCATGAATTTATGGCTCAGATATAAAGATAAAGAAATCACAAGATAGCCAAGTGCATAAAGGGAGCAAAGGAAACAGCAGAGGATTGAGTGTGTGTGTGTGTGTGTGTGTGTGTGTGTGTGTGTGTGTGTGTGGGCATGCTCATGTGCACACAGCCACACACATGCAAGTGCTCATAGGCACACATGCGTGGGTGAGCTCGTATGTGTAGGTGCCTGTGTGACTTGTATGTGTAGATGTATCTGTGGCTCATATGTGTAGGTGCATGTGTGGCTCGTATGTGTAGATGCGTGTGTGGCTCGTTTGTGTAGATGCATGCATGTAGAGGCCAGGGTCTCTCACTGGCCTGGAATTTGCCAGGTAGTCTAGGCTAGCTGGCTAATGAGCACTTGTGATGTGCCTGTCTCCACCTCCCTAGAATTGAGATTTCAAGTGTACACCACCACACCTGGCTTTGCGTTTGACTGAAGAGAAGCTGTCTCTCCTGGGGGTAATGGCATGGTTTCCTGACAGAAAAGGTAACAGTTAAAAAGAAACAGCTATATTTCTGGTCATGTTGAAGATTTTATCCAGATGTTGAGTAACAGAACTAGATGCTCTCAAAGGCTTGTTCCAGATTAGTAGATGTTTCTGAACCAGTAATAATGTGTCAATTAAGAAGATACCAACAAGTGGACTTTGGGAGCCCATTCCACATAGAGGGATACTCCCTGAGCCAAGACACATGGGGCTGGGCCTAGGCCCTGTCCCAACGGATATGACAGACTCTGATGACCCCCTATAGAAGGCCTCACCCTCCCTGGAGAGCAGAAAGGATATGGGATAGGTAGGGTTTTAGTCTGGGGTGGTGGGAGGGGAGGAGGGGAGGGAGAGGGAACTGGGATTGACATGTAAAACAATCTTGTTTCTAATTCAAATAAAAAATCTGTTAAAAAAAAAAAAGATACCAGCGAGTCTTCTAAGAAAGTAGACAGGGAAAGTGACTACTAAAAAATCAGACACAAACACACTCAGTCGCAGACTGACTTGCGCCCATGAAAGAAGTGAACCACTCCTCTCATTTCCATTAGCTATGACAATCTACATGGGACACTGTAGTTAAGGATGTACACTTAAGGCTCAGTCTTCTTGGGTTCAAATCCTGGTTCTGTCACTTGTGATCTGTAGCACCAGCCTTTCCCTTAATTAATAAGTGCTTCCTTTTCCTTGTCCCCTAACGGGGTCCTGCTGAACACAAAGGGTACTTGTAGCATGCTTCCAACAGGGTCTGGCACATGTAAATGCCTTGCTCTGGGTTTTCTTCTGGGTCTCATCACCAACGAAATTCCTACAAGTGTCTAGGGAAGAGGACACATGAAATTCCTCATATATTCTGTTTGGGTGTCAGAGTTTTATATCTATATTTTGTTTTAACTCTTTCCTTTTGTGGGCGTGGTTGGGTGTGTATGATAATATGCACACGTGAGCTTACTGTATGTGGAAGTCAGAGGATGGCAATGGTGTCATCTCAAATTTTCTCCAAATGATTTTCTCTCAAAAGGTCTTTTACTAACACTGTGAGCTGCCTATCCTGGCGTGGAGAATCTGAACTCCAAGTTTTCATACCTTCCTGGCAAGCACTTTACCGTCCAAAACATGAAGTGTTACCATCTTCTGAGACAGAACAACTAAACCACATTTAGGGTAGTTTCTAAGAGAAAGAGAGAAATAAGTGCTTCTGATAAAAGAAACTCTACAGCAACCTTTGCTATCTCCCTCATAAAACCCTTCAGAAGTGTTTTCTCAATCCCCATCCCACACCCCCAAAATCTGCAAGCATGCCAACCTTCTATGAAGTCCGCAGCCGTGTAAGCACGCTGGTGTGGGCTGCTCTCCACAGGGCTGTTCAAACTCTCCAGGGCCGATTCGATGGCTTCCACCAGCTCATCTCGCTTGTCCTTCCTCACGGGCTTCTCCTCAGGGTGGCGGGTCAGGCCAGTCTCCAGCTGGTACACTTTCTGCAGGGTGAAGCTATCAAAAGGCACGGCAGCATACTCGGTGGCCAGTTTGACGCCTGCATGTACCTCGGCCTTGTCCACCTGCCCGCGCAGGAAGGCCAGCAGATCGGCCTGGGCTTTGGGCGCAGAATCCCAGCCTGAGCGCAGGCCGGTGGCATCACTGGCCTGGTCCAGCCCACTGCGGAGCTGCTCACTGCGTGCCTGCAGTTCATCCTTGAGCTGTGCGATCTGTCTCTTAAGGCTGTTCACATAGTTGCGATGCTGTTCCTCACGCTCTTGCAGCACCGCCTGGTAGCCATCTTTGCCTGTGGGGCCATTGGCCCAGGGCAGTCCCAGCTGCTCCTGGTCGCCTTTTGGGGTGCAGGCTAACATGTAGAGGACAGAGATGGCACAGCAGAGCAGTACCAGCAGAATCACTACCCGAGAAATCCACCCCAGCAGCCCACGACGGACCATCCTCACTCAGGCGCAGGCCATGCGTCCAGCGTGTGCAGCATCCCAGGGTGCCGGAAAGGCCCCACACAAGGGCTTTCCTGGTTAGACCACAGTGCCTCCGAATCCCCCTGGACCAATTTCATCCATTTCCTTCTAGAACGTGGCCTGCCTTCAGAAGTCAACCATTACACAAGACCGCTCTCCTGTTTCTAAGGGAAGATCTTCTAGGCAGAAACAATCAGTTAAATGGAACCTCCAGGTTCTTTCATCTGTTCCCATCATAGTCTTCCTGGTGTGCCAAAGGGGAAGGGGAACCTGAGAAGACACAAAGGACAGGGACCCTTAGTGTTTCCATTCAGACTTTAACTTTTTACATTCAGGATCCCTTTCCATCTGAGAAATTTTCACTTGATCCGAAGCATATAGATATATAAAATAAGCACACAAGTCAAATATTTAGTCACCACAAATCATATATTTATTTTTAAAGTAATTCTTTTATATTACATGTAATTCAACATTTTTTGAAGATTAAGCAGATGTGTGTGGTGGTATATCGTTTATGATCTAATAATGCCACTGAAGATTGGAGAAGCAAAACAGCCAAGCCACCAGAGCGCTCTTACCTCTACCAAGGCTGGAAGAGGGATCCTGTCCTCAACGTGGCTGGAGACTAATTGCCCCATAAATTCAGAATGTCCTGCTCCTATCTTATATATCTCTCTAGTGCTGGGATTAAAGGCATGAGCTCTCTTTCTCTTTTAGACTGATTCACTCTCATGGAGTCCTGGGTGGCCTTGAACTCACAGAGATCGATCTGCCTTTGTCTCCTGAGTCCTGGAATTAAAGTTGTGTGCCACAACTGCCCAGCTTCTATGGCTGTGGCTAGCTCTGCATTCTGATCTTCAGGCAAGCTTTATTAGGTAATAAGTAATATATCACCACAGAGGTGCATATTAATGAGGTACATGTGATTATAGACATAATTTAACCTTGGCTGAATATGTGGTACTGCAGGATGGAAAACTCATGTTCATCATTTTGTAGAACTGATCAATATTTTGGTTCTGTAATCAATGATGCTAAGTAAAGCACTTTGCATGAACGTGTAATGAAAACTAGTAGAAGTCTGTTTAAAGCTTTTTCAGAAATTTGTTGAAAATGCTGTCCTGATCCAAAGTCAGCATTTGTTTAGCCGTTATTTATAAAACCCTAGTTGAAAACTCATATAGAAATTATTTAAACCAAATATTTCACCACAATCAAATCCAAGATACACTAATTTGATACTTACATTCTGAGGAACAGCAGAAGGAAAATACTAAAAGTCTTTGTTTACTACAATCAAGCCAACGTGTGGAAAATTTTGCATGTGCAATAAATACACTGCAGTTCATAACTCTGGACTGAGGTGTCTCGGGCACTCACTGTTGTTTTGTGGTGTAACAATATGTGCAGTGCAAAGTGCACATATTCCATTCTGACAATCAAGGCTTCCTTGAAGTTTCCCAGTACAGCTTGGGTGAGTACAGCCAGAAACACATGGATTCACTGGGTATTGGATTTCAAAGTAATGTTGCTCACTGCATGTCTAGAAACCTTACAGTTGCTGAATTTCTTATGAAACCCACATTCAGTTACATGAAGTTGCAGGCCACTGCATAAGATACCGAGGCCTCATTCACTATGGCAATCAATAGTCAACTGGCTGGCCCCCAAGATTTATGGAAATTGTTTATGACAGATAATTAAGCATAAGTGTATCTGTAAATCAGAGCACAAAGTGCATCAAAGAAAATCTCAAAAGATGGACAGGAACCACTGCTAAATGCAAACAGCACTTCTGTTGAGAATAGAGACTGATGTTTCGACTTAACTCTGTTTTTCAGTATATTGTAATTCTTCGTGGTGACACATATTTGAATGCTCAAAGCAAAACTTTGATGACACTGAAATCACTGGCAGCAGACTTCTCCAATGGTGCTGTCTACCAGGGATAGGAATGCAGTCTCATGTGGACACCTGCCCCCCCTCCTCTGGGGCAAGCCCAGTTGCCATCAGAATAGACACTGGGTGTTCTGAGCAAGTAAGAAAGTATCCAGAAGCTCAAATACCCAAGAACAAAGTATTGATGGTAACATGGTCAGAGGAATCTGTGACAAAGATCCCATCAAATCTCCAGTCATTCCTGCAAGTGGCAAAGAGGGCTTTACCACAGAAAGGGATGGGTTACGAGAGCAAAGGTGAGATGCTGCCTCTTCCGGCCTATATGAGGACTTCTGTGTCTTGCTTAGTCATCAGTAGCTCTTAGAATGACTGCGCCCCAACAGTAATAAAGGAAGAGCAAGCCAGACTCAACATCTCCAGGTCCCCAAGACCACCCTTCCCCTCTCCTCTACCACAGACAATATCTCTTGACATGCTAGTTTTGAAGTGTTCTCCCTTTTTAGATCATCCTAGTCATCATAGCCATAAATTAATCAATAAGCTAATAAAAAGATCAAATAAATACTTTTGTTTAGGATGTTTTTATAGAACCTTCCTGGATACATCGTCACATACCAGGACTCTTCAAGTCATGGAGGACCTGCACTTCGTCATTTTATGAAAAGAGCATTTTAAACAATCCCCATATGATGAAATTATTTTTACAGTATCCTTGCTCAACCACAGTAGTCTAGGTTCTCGTCCAATAATTATTTCTCTTATTAATATTGTGCCCCAGTCTTTATGGAAAGGAATTGCAACTGCAGATCCCTGGTGGAAAGATGTTCCACTGTCATTCTCTGGCTCAAGACGTGGTGATGATCCAGGCTCACTGGCCCATCCCGAATGCATCTCGCACCTGCTGTATTTGATGCTCACACACAGGAGGTCCTCTTGCACTGCCCAGGAGACAAGCCTCTTACTAATGTCCCCACACCACCAAAATTGTTTATTGCTCCACTTTCTGTAAAAGTTTAAGATATAACGTTTTCTCTCTCATATGTTCTCTAGAGTTTCTCTGGCCCCAAGGAGTCTCTCAACTATAATTTAGAACAATACGTAGTTATTAGTACAAGGTTTAAAGTGCATGCTTGCCCTTGGAAGCCTTTTATGTCTGATGAAAATCTCAGGATTTGTATAATTACTATAATTCTGTGATTAAAACCATCTTGGTTTTGATGCTCAGGCACCTTGCTGTTTTTAATGAAATCTCTCAAATAAGCTCATTATAGCCAAGTATTAAATTATCAGCGAGGACATGTTATCACATTATTCTGCCATTTTAAAGACTTTTATTTTAAATACATTGTCATTACAGACAAAATAAGAAAATCAAAAAACAAAGAAACAGAACATTCAACACAATTTATTGTGCTGTGGAAATTTAAGAGATGCAATCATGCTAACAAATTTTAATGGAATAAATGTTACATTTGCATAATGGATTGAAGTCATGTTGATTTAACTGAAGGAATGCATTAAGACTATGGCTAAGGAAACTAAAACTAGGGCAGTGGTGGCACATGCCTTTAATTCTAGCACTCTGGAGGCAGAATCAGGCAGATCTCTGAGTTTGAGTTCATCCTGGTCTACAGTGAGTTCTAGTACAACCAGGGCTATGTAGGGAGACTCTGTCTCAAAGAACAACAACAACAAAGATGAACAGAAAATTAAAACTATGGGCTATCAGCTATATCCATAAGTCCTTTGCTTACAAGGATTGTGGTTTCAGTGAGATGACTCAGTGGGTAAAGACTCCTTCTGCCAAGCCTGGACCTGATTTTGATCCCCTGGAGCCATGTGGTAGAATGAGCAAACCAACTTTCTTGTATATACACACATATGCACACACAAATAAAATATGTTTTGAGGTTTAGTTAGTGTGGTGTTGGAAATTCATTAGGTTACTTGGACTCCACTCATCAGAGAAAAAGAGGAAAAGGAGCCAAGGGCACCAAGATATTGTGTGAAACAATAGACCTTTTCCATTTTAATCAGCAAACAAAGTAACAGGTTGAACTGCAGTATTTTCATGCATACTTGGGGTTGATTTCCCCCAATGACTCATTGCGCCAACTTTCTCCTCCTCTCCCCACTTCTGCCACCACTATTCCCCTTTCTAATAACACACCAAAGGGGCTCGATTACCTTTGCCACCCTTCATGACAACCTCTTTAAATGGCTACACTACCAAAATTAATGTACAGATTCCATTTCTATCAAAATTCAAATGACATTCCTTATATAATTAGTGTGCATGGTGGAGAGGGGATCCCAAACTTCATACAGGACACAGAGATCACAGTTGGGCAAGCAATCCTATGCAAAAAGAATGGTGCCACAGTTATTGCTACATGTGACTTCAAACTATTGTACTGAGCCATAGTGACAAAAACAGCTAGATGCTGGCATAAGCATAGACATGCAGGCCATAAATTGGACCCAGAAATAACCCCTCACAGCTATGGACACCAAATTTTTGACAAAATTGTCACAAACATCACGGAAAACACACATCTTACTTTACTATATGATGCTGACAAAACAGATATTGACATGAAGAAGAAAGAAATTATAACCTCTCACCCTGTACAAATCAATTCAAAATACACATTAAATGAAATTAAAGTAAACAAATGTGAAATTAAAACCAGAAATGCTGAAATCACTAGAAATAGACACAGAAAACAAAACACAGGTATAGGCAAAAACTTTCTAGTTAGAATCCCCAAAGTACCAAAAATAGCCCCAAGAATTGACAACTATCATTATGTGAAATGTCTCCACAGCAAAAGAAATTCTCAGTAGAGTGAACAGACTACAGGATGGAAGAAAAAAAGGATGCCAAAATTGCTGCCAAAGAGTCTGTGATTTCTTTTTCTTTGTAAAATATTGGGAACAGACAATGCATCAGAAACAACATTCTGCACCCTTTAACAGACAAAATATTTCCTAATGCTTCTAGGAATCTAATCTGCAATCAAACATGGTAACTGGTGATGGAGCAGAGGCTGATAGACAGGTGTCTGCTTGCG